CTCAGAATGGTACTATATATGTATATATATATATATATATTATTTGAGACCACACACCTTCTGGATCACTTTGTGGTACTTGTATGGTTGCGAAGCATTCTGCAGCGCGTTGTAGGCCAAGATCACCCACAGCCATTGTCCAGCCGATTGTAGTGCTCGCGCATGTGCCTGCGGATATGCACACCGATAGTATAAAAAGTGAGAGAAAAGCACGCTTCGGGATATTACATCCGAATACACAAATGAGTAGATGTTACGAAATAAAGCATACATTAACGGTTTGCAGCCAAGTTAGAACTAATCACGATACATAGAGACAAGACAACAACAGCGGGTGAGTTGCGTGGTGTTGGTAAACGTTAAGAATATAAATGCGAATGGCGTGGCAGTTGATAACAATATACACAGCATGACGAGTAGTATATCCGTCGATCACCTTATATGCAGTACACATAAACACAATTGCTACATAGCGTGCGAAGTAGTTAAACTGTATACATATATTTATATATATATATATATATCTCGACTGATATCACACAAGCACTGAAGAAACATACCTTCTCGACAGAAGAAGAACGTTTTATTCGTGCTTTCTTGATAGTCATCGCAACTTTGGCCTTCAGTATACGCACAACATCACAGAGTGGCGCACACCGTCTCGCTTCCATCCACACCTGGGAACGGGATGTGTCAAACGCATACAGGTATATATTACTAGCTAGGAGTGTAGACACCTACAGGTATACATTATATACAGGTATATATTAATAGCTAGGAGTGTAGACACATACAGGTATACATTATATACAGGTATATATTAATAGCTAGGAGTGTAGACACATACAGGTATACATTATATACAGGTATATACTATTAGCTAGGAGTGTAGACACAAAAGGTACACATTATATACAGGTGTATATTATTAGCCAGGAGTGTAGACACATACAGGTACACATTATATACAGGTGCATATTATTAGCCAGGAGTGTAGACACATACAGGTATACATTATATACAGGTATATATTATTAGTTAGGAGTGTAGACACATACAGGTACACATTATATACAGGTGCATATTATTAGCCAGGAGTGTAGACACATACAGGTATACATTATATACAGGTATATATTATTAGTTAGGAGTGTAGACACATACAGGTATACATTGTATACAGGTATATATCATTAGCTAGGAGTGTAGACACATACAAGTACACATATACAGGTATATCTTTTCAGCTCAGATTGGAGACACATACAGGTATATATTAGCCAAGATCATTAGCCAAGAGTGGAGTGGCATTCGATCAGTAAAAAAAGCGAGTTACGGTGGAATCAAGAGGTAATGATGCACGCGCGTTATTACGCGTGGAGTTCAGTTCTTTGTTTGTTCTTGATTTACAGTGGTCTTGCGATGTCTGGATGCCTCAGACCCACGCAGGCATGTACCAGTAAGTGAGCGAAGGCAAGTGAAAATGGATTTAAATGCAGCAACTTATTGTTTGTCTACACCACTCAAAACATGTAGTAGGCGCTGCCAGGTCTACGAAAGTGAAGGAGGGTTCAGAAATGACAGTTGATTTTATTTGAAGCCAGCTACTTTGTTGTTGATGTATGCTGGTGATATAATGTGCTAGATGCCTACAAGTATATATAGATACGGAGCGGCACAGGATCATAGAATCGTACACAGCTAAATACTACTGCTTTGAAGTGGACATCTGCTGTGTTGGACGCATACGTGCACATATATAAGTGGGGATAGCATGAGATTATTAGTTCATAGTGCACTATTCGTTAGTGATGTATAGTGAAAATGATGTTTCAGATACATGCAGGTGTATAAAAGCAAAGGGGTGACATGGTTGTGGATACATAACCAGCTATCCATTTTTTATTTACAGTGCAAATAGAATCGTGTTGGACGCATACATACAAGTCAATGTAAGTGAATGTGGGTATGCGGTTGTTATACCTATGCACATGCAGATATGTGTAAGTGAGGGTGGAACACGGGTATTAAAGCCTGAGCAGCATGCAACGGAGATTAAAATTCTATTTCCTCGCACCAAATGAAAGGATTGCTTAAGTACACCCAAGCCTTAGCTTGGTTCGATCGTCGGTAGTGTCAGACTCACTGTTCGCAATGAGTAGGTTGAGGTGTATATGCGCAAGTGTGCGCAAAACACGCACACTCCAAATTCCATAATTGATTTGCACATGTATATTGACATACGTTTATTTTATTTTTAAATAGCGTATCGGACGATGCAGAATATACGCACACAGGACATAAACGTATATATACAGGCAGATCTACACTATGAGAATATACATATAAATGGGTAGATGAACGCACAGGGATCATGTACATGCACACATAAGCAGATGTACACACAGTAAACACGCACATACATTCTATATTCATAATCCAAATCACACAAAAGTCATACACAAGCACATTCCTGACTTTCACATGCATACCTGATGACATAGAGCCGTCGCTCCCATGTCTGGGCCAACTCGGTCGTCACTGCGGCTGGAAGTCCCACCCGTCACAAGTAGGTTGAGGAAGACATCGTGTCTCTTTGAATAGCAGACTATTGAATGATCCGATTGACTCACTTCTGAAAACAAGGGAAGGTAGGCTATATCTGAACCATCCTTAGCTCCTCGCATGGCATTCGCAACCTGACAGAAAACAGACGACGGAGACGGGTACAATTTGAGTGCTTAGTATGTTAGAA